GTTCGTTAATAATTAATACTTTCAAGATGCCGCGCTAAAAATGACCGTTGCATATTTGATCGCTCTTTCGTAGAAGTTGGCGCGGCTCGCGTCGGAAAACTTTCAAATTGAAATTATTTTTTCGTGAAAACAGACATCGCTCTCTTCCCGTCGCGCCGTTGTCCCCGATTAGTTTCTCGATGGAAATGGCGACCCTGTATCCATTATATCGTCGAGTCATACGAACCGAGTCGAATATAGCGTTACCAACGACGTCGTGACAAGACCGCAAGGCCGGCCGATCATTGATAGACTTTTGCTCGATCGCCGATATTCGCCTAGCAATTCTGCACTCTTGACATTGGGTTCGGCTGGCTATCCGCCGACGCACATTAATGCGATCGATAGCCCGCTATCGCGCGATCTCGCGGCCTGTCGGCTTGTTTTTTTTTCTTTACCAGCCTACCCCACACAAGTCGCAGGATAACGACTACCTTTCGGCATCCTTAATTTCGATGTGCCGCGTCGTGTTATTTGATCCTATCCGCCGACGAAACAGGAAGCCCGATTTTGCCTACCATAGCAGGAGGAAATAAAAAGAGAGATGCCTTGGTGTTTGTAACAATATCAAAAAAATTTTTTTCAGACATTTAGTCAATACATTAATCAAAACTGAATCCTTTTTTCTCTATTTTATTTTTCTTAAAAATAATAAAGCTTATTTATGCGTAACTTTTACAAACTAAGTCTAATAGCGGCAATTTTTTTAGAAATTATAAAACTAATCGAATAATAGACGATGATATTTGACCATCTATCTGCAATTAACCGATTCACATAGGTAAAAAACTTGTCTCAATGAGATATAATAGATAGACGAGAGAACGTCAGAGGATTGGAGCATCTCTATATTCGACTCTAAAATTAGACAGATGCAAGAAGTAGGGAGGTAGCGAGACAGGACAGACCGCAGAAATCGGTTCCGCGGAAATCAAATCGCCAGGTACTTTTTAAGCAGCTGATCGGCGAACGATTGTTCGTGTCGACCGGAAACGGACAACATACCTCGCGGAGGATCAACGTGCAACGATTCAGGCGGATTAAAGCTGACAATTATAGGGACCCGGAGGGAAGAGAAAGGGTGGTGATTCTCCCCCTTTTCCTTTATATTACAGTACACACTATCCGCCGCGGTAGTTTAGATAGATAGGTGGGTAGGTAGGTCCGCGAATGAGTCAGGTCATGCTAGGTTAGATTGGACGTTGTCTCCGTACACGTATGCACTCGCGTATGCGCACACTATATACATAAAACACGCACACATGCACACACATACGTGCGTACATGGGCAACGATATACCATATGTGAGCCGCTGCTGCACGGCCATCCTGTGCGTGGGTGGACGGAGGGCACCGTGTGTGCGTGTACGCGTGTGCGCGCCTGGAGAGAAGGCATATGGTCAGCAGGTGAGACCTTCGCTTTGTATTCCAAGTGTATAAAGTAGCCCACTTCGAGTGGCCCGACGTTACTCACGGACGTAACTCACGGTAAAAGGGGAGAGAGAAAGAGGGAAAAAAAAAGGAAAGGAGGAAGGGTTGCATGCCGGCTCCTCCTGAAATGCTAACGATCCCTTCGAGCATCAGCATCAGAAGGAGACCTGCCGACGCGAGCTACGGAACCATCCGTCGCGATTCGAATAGCAGGGAAACGAGGTCGTGCATTTTTCATGCAAGAATCCCGCGGTGAGTCGCCTCGGTGCAACTGTATCAAAGATGACTCGTCGAAATAAAACAGATACGAAATAAGAGGCAAAACAGTCCCTTATCACGCGTTAATAAATCACGTGGACTGAAAATAGTCGCGATCCCTCTTTGCGAGAGATTTTGCCTAGATTTTGCTGCACTACAAGGAAAGAACGCGGATAGAGTTTAATGAGCGATCTGAGTATTAATAAAAAATGGCGGGCAGGGGAGACAGAAACAAAAATATGAATATTGCAAAGGGGTAAGAGCGGAGGATGAGTAGAATCGGAACGAAAGATGCTCCTAAGGAAATACAGTGGGTGTCATTTGATATATTTTTCCATTATTAAGGACATTAAGCCGGCGGCCCGCAGGCCAACTCTCTTCTTTCCGTTTTCTTCTTCCTCTTTTCATTTCTCCTCGCGGGCCCCGGCGCGACCGCGACTTCTCTTTCTCTCTCTCTTTTTTTTTACCGCGGCTGGCGACGGCGATAAATCAGAAAAAAAGATTCAAACCGTCAGTATAGTCGGGCGTCGGGACGCAATTTTCCGTCTGCCAGGAGATAAAAATTTGATTAATGACCGCGTAGTTTTGAAATTTAAGAAAGCTGCGGCATTCTCACCGAACTCCGACGAAAAACTTCCAGGGAGAATAATAGCCGACATTGTTCGTATGTCGATGCTGTCGAAATTTCATTACTCGTTATCTCCGAGAACCGTTAAAAAATAATAGCCGCCATTTCTACACTTTTATGATAATTTAATTTATAATAATACGTTTGTGAAATTAAAGAATATTGATCGGAATTGTACGAATTTTCAATATATGTATATTTCATTCCTCATTTCATTCCTACGTTTCACTATGCAACCTAAATGCGACAGTGTGTAAGGAAATTCGATAATTTATATTATTAATATGCAAAGATAGTCATTTGATCGACGAAACGTCTTACATCCAAAGTTTAAAGAAAATCTCGACGGGGCACTCGAGACAGTCGTTAAAAATTCGCGTCGCGGACCGACCTCGGCGTCAAACCGTTTTTTCACGAACCCTTCTGTCACTCCCGACTCCCGGTTAATCATCGTGAAAGTCCGTTTACGAGGGGCAAAGAATTCGAAAGGGAAAACCCGTGTTGGCAAGCAATTACACCTTAAAAATATCGAACAAGCAGATTGAGATTACACAATACAAGTAAACAAAAATATACTCGATATAATAGACGTATTTTTTTTCTAGCTCTACTTTTTTCATATGAATTAAAACAATTATATCAACGTATCTATTATATCTCCGCCATACGTCCAATATATTATTTTTGCAGGCATCAGTAATTTTTTAATATCTCTCGTATTTTACAAAATCGATGCAAACGCGTCCCAATGCTCGTCGGGCGTACCGTTTGTACATCGATTAAACGGAGCCTCAGCGTTCGTAACATTTCCCCCCTTGAGTACCACAAAACAGGAGCAATTTCATTCAAATCGGTGACGAACAACAGCCGGCGGACCGTGTCCGGGCGGAGGTAGAAAAAGGCGAGGAAAAAGGCGCGGAATAAAATCGCGTCGGGCAGCCTCTCCCTCTCCCACGGGGATTAAAGAGTCCAGGGATGCCCAGCGAGCACCGAGATCGTCGTCACCCCGTCAAGTATCCGCAGTCACGTCGAACGGTGAACGGGGGAAAGGGTTGAACTCGCGGAAACTTGAGAACCCCCGGTGACAATTTCAATTCTCTCTTCGTCTCCCGCCCGGCCGCCCCCTCCCCTCTCGCTCTCACGGAGCCAGGCGCTCCTCTCGTCGCGAAAGGGGTGACCTAAGATTCTTAAAACTTCTCACGAGATTTTTCGATTTTAATTACAGTTTTAACATATTTTAATAAAATCCTCCGCCGTCTTCGCGAGTCCATCCGTCCATCTCCTCACCCCACCTCACCTCCCCGCTACCCGCCGCTTTAATTCCGCCAAGTTTTCGGCCCTTCTATTACCTCGCCCGACCACTCTTGCCGCGGACTGTACGCGGCCTTAACGTTAACCCTTTCGTTCGTTCACCTACACCCACACCCGCGGTACTGGCGTAACACCTGTTCCCCGAATGAGGAGAACCCGAAATTGAACGTGCCTCTGCCGGTTACGCGGCCCGATCCGCCGCTCTATCAGTTTCGGTTCTTCCTCACGGCGCTCAGGAAGAAACCGGAGTAGTGATTGAACCGCCCTCGTAAGCACCGCCGTGCAACTCTCCATATGCGTGAACGCGATTTTTCGACCAATTCTTTTCTCGAGATTTTCGTCGTTGTGCCGAGATCGATGGAAGCGAAGCCGATAATAAACTGTAAGCATTTGAACGACGGAGTAATCGCCCGCAAAATTGACAGATACTGAATGTTTAAAGACACGTGACAGATCGAATGTATGCATATACTACAGACGTACTAAATGTATTTGCAGGGATCGTAAAATTACATGCCTTAATAGTGACGCGTTTGCGTTAAACACACGCGCGCCACAACGATATTCTAAATCAGGCCGAGAACGAGCTAGGTTACAAATTTCGTCGGGGTTCCAAGTTCTCACGCTGGTTTCAGAATCGGAGCTTGTAGTATCGGTCAGTAGGTCAAGTTACACCGCACCTTCGTTCCGCGATTATAAACGTTGGCTCTCGGCCTTGCAGTACCGCGACCTTGGTAACTTCTAATCGCCAAGTTCAACCACCACTACGACGCGGATTAGATGATATAACGCCGCAATACACAATTTCGCGCTTGACTTATAACAGTGCTATAATTTAACTTTAGTACATTTCCGTAAGAACTGACGCAAACAAGAGAGATACGAGGATCGATCAAACCGCGCGTGTTTGTAAAATCTGCCGAAACTGTGGAAGAATATATAGTATCTTGGAACAACGTACTTTTTATCGTTAACAAAGCTCTCTCTTTTCTATTTATTTATTATGAAATATGATTTAATTAAACTTATTCTTATCTAAATAACTTCTCTATATTAGTAAAAATCTGTTCCATGATACAACATTTCTTACATTTATCTTGTGGTTTTACTCGCCTCGTTTACTTCTCAATAACAAATATTTTTCGTAGCTGAACAATTTATTGCATTCAAAGCTTTTGTAAAACTTTTGCAAATCCGAGGAGGCGAGTAACCCCTTCAGTTTCGGCAATGCGAAAGCGATGGCGATCGACTACGAAAATGTACGGCGGTCAGGGTCGATTTGCCATCCTCCGTTGCTCGGCGAAAAGTACAGCGTACCAACTAACCCCGGCAGTTCTTCTCGCAGATCTTCATGCACAAGAGCGCGATGCAGATGCACGCGAGGGAGCTGAACGCGGGTGCACTGACGAGGCCCGGCGGCGGCGTCGGCGGTCTGGCCGGTTTGGGTGTCGGTGTCGGCGTCGGCGTCGGACCGGGCGGCATGATCGCCAGCAACGAAGTCAAGCCGCACCAGTGCCAGCAGTGCCTCAAATCGTTCTCCAGCAATCACCAGCTCGTGCAGCACATCAGGGTCCACACCGGCGAGAAGCCATACAAGTGCAGCTACTGCGACCGCAGGTTCAAGCAGCTCAGCCACGTGCAGCAGCATACACGACTGCATACGGGTGAGTGGTTCTCTTGTATTGTTAACTGCTTGTGTTGTTAACGATATCGGGTAGGCGTATAAGCTTTTTCTTCGATTACGCCCGATTAAAGTCGACCGCCGCGTAATCGGCACCGCCCGTAAATTAATGCAGAATAATACGCGTTAAGCTCTGGTACCGCACCACACCCCGCTGCTGCCCAGGGCTCGTCGTTATAGAACTCGCGCCGAGTTATTGGTCAATAAATTAGTGCACGAATATATATTGCTGTTATAGTAAATTCTATGAATACTATATCGCCCGGGCTATAGCCAATAATCAATAAATTAATATGCAGTTATTGTCTGTACGGGCAATCATGCGTCCCGATTGTGACTAACTTCAATGCGCGCCAGTGCGAAATTGCTTTGTGCATGCAACATGCGTGCAAGTAAAATATTCCTACGCTCATAGAGACACGGTCGAACGAACGAACGAACAAACGAATGAACGAATGCATCCTATCATCCCGCACACTGCTCTTTCGCGCCCCGCGAGACTTCCAATATTTGGATAACGATGCATCCGCAGCCGCGTAGGAGGCAGCTTGCGACTAAAATAACATCGATCAGGCCGGACCAGGCACGAAGGATTTGCAATAATGAGAAAACCCGATCTGGCTGCAAAGGCAAGCCAATGGGTCGCGTCCGGGCAGAAAGAATTTCATTAAGGGATGAGCGTAGTCACTCGGAAGGTATTAGCCTCGCAAGCGAACGGTCAGCGCGCGCCGCGTACGACTACTAGCCCCTTGGAAAAATCTCGTTGACCTTAACGAAGATTTGCTTTGGCGAAGCAGCGAGAAAAAAAACAAAGAACAAGAGAAAGATGGCCCGCGTCGGGTATTCGAGCTATTTAATCGAATCGTCCGAATGCGGAGTGAAAGAAAGAGAGAGAGAGAGAGAGAGAGGGGTACGAAACCCTGAGTAACAATCGATCCAAGGGAAGGTTCGTTGACAAAGTAAACGGATCCCCGACGTTTCTTTGCCGATGTAACGAATCGTCGAGTCGTTTTCTCAAATCATCCTTCGACGAATCATGAAGAGAATCGTTTTGTGCAATGTAAATCCGTAGTATATACTCGCGACGCGATACGACTCGAGCCGAGTCTCCCTCGATCGGATTTATAAAAGCAGACATCGTGGATTTGACGAGAATATCCAGCGTAACCTGGTTTTCCACTTAGCGCTTATCTTTTTATTTTTTATTTCACACCGCGCCGCTCCGACCGAGCTTGTCGTTTCTTAATCGTAAATAACGGCGAAAGAAAGACTTGCATTGATTTTAGCCGGCCCATCTTTCGACCTCCCGTCTTCTTGTTCTACATCTCTCTCTCTCTCTCTCTCTCTCTCTCTCTCTCTCTCTCTCTCTCTCGCTCTCGCTCTTTCTCCCTCTCTCCTCTCTCCCTCGCTCTCTCCCTCTCCCGATCTCTTTCTCTCGCCCTATTGCGAGAGGGCCACCCACATCCAAATAACTACTGCTCAGCCACCCCTTACATTAATAACCGCCCTTCCCCACATATCCCCACATATCCCTTCATCATCGTCCTCCTTCGCAGGGTGGTGCTCGAGTTGGGCGTGTATGCACGCGCGTACGTAAAGGGTCGCTTTGGATTTCTACACTTCTACCGATAAAATGTTTTAAATGCACCCGTACCGTGCAGCCCCCGACCTCGGTTGCACCGACGGAGAGGGTGCAAACCTTGTAACGGTATCTCGTGACGACCTGCGAGTGCTCGGAGCCAAGTTTAGCCGCGAATCGAAATATTTCTATTTTCGAACGTCTTAAGGAGAAATGATTGGGCGGTGCGAAATTTATATCCATACAACATGCAAACTCAACAAGCTTGTTGACTCCCTGTAAATCATAAATGTTATTTCTTGCCTGATAATTTGTCGATCTTAATTAGTCGCAATTTTATTATTCTTTATATTTATCGTTATCCCAATAATTTTTCATCAGTAAGACATTTCGGAATAAATGTAAAAGATCAAACATAGAAACATACGAACATTGAAAGTATATATAACGTCGAATACATTCATTAGATCGCACTTTGCATTGAATAAAAATCACAATTCCAAAATTATATTTATTTAATTTTCTGTTAATTTTGTTTATATAAATCGGGAAAACAATAATACGTTGGTACGTACTAATTAATATCGAAGTAATGCGAATGCGAAGCGACATACTCGGAAGCGCGCATTTTTGCAACAGAACAATCCCGTTACAGCGTTTGCACCGCGTATTGATTTCTCATTTCGATGAAATTCTGGCGCGGCGGGGCACGCGGCGATTGGTCGTTCGCATTCAAAAATCGGCGGGAATTCGCCGGCGTGCCGACGTGCCCCCTTCCTCCCCCACCCGTCGTTCCATCGCTCCGCAAATATGCACACGAGTTACATCGTTCGCGCGCATATATGCACGCGTGTCTATATATTATACATATAATTCATTAACCGAAATTTACACGAGAACGCACGGCCGGTAAAATCCATGGGGTGGGAGAGCGAAACGAAAGAACGGACGGTGGGAGGGCAGGCGGCACGGAGAATATAATATCGACGAGTGTCCACGATATCGATAGCTGGTCAATATCTGTAGCCTAGACAAATACCTGGCGAGGGTGCGGAGTGCAAGGGAGAGGGAGAGAGAGAGAGAACGAGAACGAGAACGAGGGTGAGCGAGTCCGTTCACCCCCTCTCGTACCAGCGGCGCGCAAGGATGACCAAACGGCCGGGCCAATGAGAGTCCGGCTCGCCCCACCGAGGCCGCCGCGTGCGAAAAAGCGCGGGAATTTTTCGATCGCCCGATCGCTCAATAATGGAACCGAAGTTACGTGCCGCCACCGTCGCAAGCGCACACGACCGCGCGAGCGCATGAACGCGGTCATATGTATATTCACACGTGCACGCAACGTACACACCCAACACACACGCATGGATGTATGCACACGTGCGTCCGTGAGCGTATGCGACGATCGGGATGCACCCGGAGAGAGAAAGAGAAACGGAGAGAGGGAGAGAGAGAGAGTCCATGCACATAGCAGGCCAGAGGCTACCAAAGATTATCCCTTCGGCAGCGGGCAAAACTCAATTTCCCGGCCAAAATCTAATGATCGACCGCCCTACGCGCCAGGGACTAATCGGTTTTCCCGGAGCCGCTAACTAGGCGCGTGTGTTGGCTGCGAAAATCGCCGCTCGAAAAGCGGTGCAGATAGAATGGCGCGGAACAATCTCAAAGGACTACGGGTATGCGATTGTTAAACGCTGCGAAAGCTCGTAATCTGGGCGTCCATTTGGTAACATCTATGACCTAATGATCCGTCTATGAGCGTAATCGACGCTATGAAAGACGTCGATGCGTAATGGTTACCGATAACACATCGGCATTCTCCCCCCGAGCGACTACGCAACTACGTATTCTCATTGGATGTAATTTGTAAAGGATTTCCGCGGAATGGAGCACGCGATTTTGCGTCCATCGGAAGGACCGCCAAGTGCGTTAAAAAGGGGACTAGCTCGCCGTGAGGGCGTCGCCGCGACGCCGACGGTGATAGCGATGCTTGAAAAAAGGAGCACGTCCTACCGAAGAAATTGACCGGACAATTTTAAAGCCTACTTAATACTGCGAAAAATTGCCGTTTCGTCGGCGCATGAATAAAAATTAAGGCTTTCTGCCTCGACCTCCGTTTCTCACCGTGTCCCCGGCTTCTGGGACGCGGAACAGTTTGGAAACGAGCCTGCATATCCGTATTTACGAGGTGCCGCGGTAAAACGAGGAAAAGGACGAACGTTCCCGGATTCCAGACCCCAAGTCCTCCTTTCGTCCGCCACCTCGCTTCCTCAGCCTTCCGGCAGCAGTCTGTTCCGGGTCCGCGCGTTTTTCCGTCCCTCTCGCACTTTTAATTCGCTAATTTCGCCGGTTAAGAATTCATGCGGCGGAATGCCTCTCGGCGGACGTCTCGAGAAAAATCAAAGCGAGGAGAAAGCGGCGCAAGGGGGTTCTGGGGGTCGAGAGCGCCGCGGAAAAGAGCGACGCCGGTGGTCCCTTTATCACAAATGGCGCGGAATGAAAGATTAAATAACAGCACGGCGACGCTTTGAGCACGAGAAATAAAAATTACGAGCGAGATGACGACGGAGGAGACGAAAAGTCGCGAAAGCTTTTGCCCAACGAGCTTTCGCCTAAATATATTCTTTTTTCAGCGGCCACATTCCGCCGACTCGCGGTGAAATTATCGACGAAATCTTCGCATTTCGAGAATATTCTAAACCCGGAAGTTGATTAATTTTCGTTGATTAATATCGCAGGCTAATCAGCTAGCCGACCTATAGCCTCGCTATGAATGTTTTAACAGAACGAGCGTTAGTTCTAATATCAGCCCGCGTTCAGCGCAGCGTACTCGTAAATTACTCGTACGCCAGAATTCATGCATTCATGCAATTTTGCGAGCGATGTAACCGGTCCGTATTTAGTAATTAACACACTCAACTTCGGCTTCGCCATAGCGACTTAAAAAGACACGATTATCGATAGACACTGAAGTTCGTAACTTCGCGATCTTTCTCCTTGCATAACTGGCTTCGTACAAAATTTCGTCACGCTGAGATACAACTAATATGTTATTTACAAAATTATTACATTTGGAAATATTATCTGAAAAATATTATTTGAATAATTATATACGTGATGCTTAAAGAGAGAGTCCTCGTAGTTTTTTATTCCACAACCAAAAAAATCGTTCCGCTTCGCGTTTCTCGTTTGCTACAATCGAATGTGTTCCGTGCGTATCCGTTAGAGTTAGAATATCGGTTAAACTTCGGTGAGAAAAGATATGACTTCGGGGGGGGGGGGGGAGAAAAGAAAAGTGATTAAGCCGGGAGGAACGCCGTATGGTCCGTGGTCGAAGAAATGAACGTACAGTCACGGCGCATATGCATAGCCTATCGACGCGCGCATCGGCCTATTCTAATTTTCTA